GCGTCGGTGATCCTCATCAGACACACAGTCAACTTGAACTAAGCTATATAGTCTTTCGGATTAGCTCCACCCAAGTAGGGATCTAATGTTGGGATCTTGAATCTCTATAGAGGCTCAACCTCAATGATTTGCTAAAAGAACGTACTCTCTAGTTGTCAGGGCACCTCAGTATGTTCGAACATACTCTCTAGTTGTCAGGGCACCTCAGTATGTTCGAACCGATGCCAATCGATCAGCGTCGACCCAACACTATCAAAGTTCTGGGAGTCACATCTTCTGTCCAAATTTAAGGTGCTCTTTGATCATTGGGTGTCGACCCTTCCTCTTGAGGATGCTCCTCTCTTCCCTGAGTGATTGCCTCTCAAATGACATTCAGTATTTGATCCTTCATCTCCCGAATTTGTTGTTTCATTAATTCTCTTATGCACTCCATATTACCGGTGTTACAGATAAGAGTTTATCCTCCATATGTTGTTCCTCTTCTTAAATGTGACATGATTCACGCTCACTGCATATTTTAGTATATTAAATCCTAATTTATCTGTGAAACACACCTTAAGTATTAAATCATTTGAAAGGGAAGAGGGAGAGAGAGGATTGAACAGTAACAACTATCAGTACTTTTTAACTATCATCACTTCAAGTCAGCAAGAGAGATTCGATAGTCTTGGCTTTATTTATCGATTGATCTTAAGCTGGTTAACGACCCTCAATCTCTAAATGAGAAGCTCGTATTGGTGGCGCAAGACTGAGCTATCATGTTGAGGGTGAGTCATCGTAGCATGATAAGTAGCTGGTTCCTAGACGAGGAGAGCCTGTGTGATGATTATAATACTCTATTTTATTATCAATTCTTTGTCCCTTTTGTGGAGCATCTGAGGCATCCATGGGAAAGTTTGTGATAATGAGGAACTTGATAATTTTCTCAGGTCAGATTTACTGAAAGGTTGGTTGATGCCTTCAATCAGCTTTTTTACAATGTTTAGCTCAGATGCTTATCTATCTTGCTTCAGCTCGATTAGTTCAAATGCAAATCGATTGACCGCTTATTTGTCCTTCTTTTGGCTTGGTCGGCATTCGGGTTTGGCTCGGAAGGCTACATCCAATCGAATAAGTGGATCTCCTTGTCTTTCATCAGTGGGTCCTCCTTTGTTGAACTTCCTCTTTTTTGGACCTTTGGATCTCTTTAGGTTCTGCACGGGAACATTTTTTATGTATAATGCTAAGATATTAAACATCACTATACTGCCATGAAACTTCCAACATGTAACACTTATAATCCTATTATAGGTTTGATACCTTAAGTATGCTATATAATTTACTAAATAAGAAATAAAAATGCATTGTTCAAAGTAAAAAAAAATACAAAATAGCTAGAGGTGTAGCCTAATGATGAGATTGATCTGTCAAAAAGTTCACTGATTTGCCTCGTTAAATTGATTGACTGCATAGATAAGTCAAGCTTATCTGCTGAATTATATGGCTAAGTTTGCTTGGCTAATTGACCAGACAAATTATTTAGCAGGGTTGATTTGTTAAACTGAAATGTTAAAATCAGATTATTAAATTGGTAGAAGTCGAATCACCGCTTGACTTAAATTCGGTCTAGGAGAACACACACACACACACACACACACAAGCACATAGGTGTGTGTGAAGTATGCTATATAATTTACTAAATAAGAAATAAAAATGCATTGTTCAAAGAGCCAAATTTATTTATTTATTTATTTATTTATTTATGGCCTTTGAGTCGTTTCTTCTGGAACTACAAGCACCTTCAACTTTTCGACCTTGATCAACTCCTCGATCAAGTTTTGGAGATGTTGACATTCTTATGTGTTATGGTCATGATTTCGGTGATAGGTGTAGTATTTCTTTAGGTCTCAGAGATAAAACTCTGGTTTTTATCAGGGGTGCTCTCTTAAAGTACTTTATATCTGGATGTCCTCCACTATCTCGGCTATCGAGACTCTCAATGAAGTCATTTTTGGTAGCTCTTGTTTGGGCAATAGATGCTCATTGTAATGAGCTGATCACTGGCCAACGTATCAAGCTTGACTCCCTTATTTGTGTGTTCTATCCATTTGCCTTGTGATCTTGGTGTTGCCCGACATATTTGTACTTTGGAGAGGTGAAAGGCGTGATTCATCTCTTGATCTCCACCTGTTACCTTACAGAGCCATCTTCTGGGGGCTATAGTTGGAGGATTCTCCTCTGGAGGAAGTGGGGTTGGAGTTATAGTCTTAGAATAATATATAGTTATTGGCCATCTCTAATAATTCGACAAGTCTATTTGGACACAACAGACCCAAAAGCGCACCGAAAATTATCCTTCTTTTAGTCCTTGAGCTAGGGTGGAGTGAGCTACTATGGCTCCAAATTTCGTATTTCCAACATCTCCTTATGGAAATGGATAATAAATGAGTGAAAGTTTTCATTCTACCCTTATTTGATATGTAGAAGAGCCTGGAAATTCTTTTGTGGCTTCTGGGCACTGGCAAATTGTGCCACAAATATTTATTTGAGTCGGTTAATGATGTGATTACTCCTAGTGAAAATGCATTGAACTACCTTAAGGCCAACTCTCCCAGTGTGGTGAAAAAAGGCAACACTTTAGTGCATCTATGATCCTCAGTAGACACATTGTCGACCCGAATGAGGCTATGTTATAAGTTGAATTGATTCTACCCTTATTGGACTCCAATGTTTGGATCTTAAACCTCTCTAGAGGCTTAGCTTTGGTGATTTATCGAAAGAATACATTCTCTAGTTTTCGGGATTCCTTAGCACGCCCGAACTATTTCCAATTGATTGATGTTGACACAACACTATCAAAGTACTGAGAGTCTCTTTCTCTGCCCAAATCTTAGAGGGCTCTTTAGCTGTTGTGTGTCAACCCTTTCTCTCGAGGAAGTTCCTCCCTTACCCAAGCTAGCGCCTCTCGGATGACATCCAACATTTAATCCTTCAGCTCTTGGGCTTGTTGGTTCATGAACTCTCTTGTGCGCTCCAAATTATCAATGCCTTTAATATAAGTTTCTTCTTTGTGTGTTACTCCTCTTATTGTATGTGGTATGATACATGCTCATCACACCTTTTAGGATGTTGAAACCTGATTTGTTTGTGAATCACACCCTAAGGTAAGGAATAAAGCATTTGAAAGGAAGAGAGAGAGAGAGGAGTGAATAGTAATGAATAGCAATACATTTGGTCTATCTTTTCTTATTCATAAAATGATCTCCCTATTTATAAAAAAGAGGGTATAATATAGTGATATAACATTTCTACCCTCACTTTAATGAGGGCTATATAGGTTATTCTAGGTACTTTACATATATGAGTTTATCGTTTGACAGCTCTTTAGCTCGGTTAGCAGACTAATATAGCTTCAACTTGACAAGGCCAATCTGTTCGGTTAGTTAGAGCAAGCATCATCGGTTGGCTGTGCTTGATTAGCGTTAGGTTGACATGACTGATTCAGTGGGCTAGACATTGTCTATTCGTTGATCTTGGTCTATGTATCGACTCACAATCTCGGGATAAGGAGCTCCCATCGATGGGATGACATTAAACCATCATGTAGAGGGTGAATCACCGTAACAAAAAAAGTAGCTCATTCCAGGATGATGAGAGCCTATGGGATGACTATAATACTCTATTATATTGTCAATTCTTGGTTCCTGATGAGGAGCCTTGGGACGTCCGTGAGACAGTTGGTAATAGTGAGGAATTCGATTCTTTTCTTGGGTTGGATATATCAGAAGGTAGGTCGATGCTATCAATAAACTTTCTTACAGTAGTATGCTCGAATGATTATCTCTCCTGCTTTAGTCTAATTGGTTCAAATGTGGATGTTTCGGTCAATCTTTTTATCTTTCTTCTGACTCGGTGGGCTTTCGTCTTTGGCTCAAATAGTTACATCTAATTAGATAAGGGGTTTACTCATCTTCTATCAAGGGCCCTCTTTTGTCGTAATTCATTCCTTCTGGACCGTTGGATCTTCCCGGGATCGGAGCTGGCACATTTTCTTATGTTCAAACGCTAAGACATTAAATATCACTTCACCACTGTGAATCTTCTGACACGCAACACTTATAATTTCATTGTAAGTTTGATCCAGCCTTAGGTATGTTGTATAAGTTGCTACATAAGAAACAATAAATGCAAGTGGGAAAAAAAATAACTAGATGTGCAGACTAATCAAGAGATTGATTGCCAAGCAAATTTATTGAATTGATTGACTAAACCGCTAAATTACCTAGTTGAATTGATCGACTGCATCGACGAGCCAAGCTTATTCACTGAATTATTTAGTCGAATTTGCTTGGCTAATTTACCAGATAACTTGATTCGCGGAGTTGATCAGTAGAACTCACTTGACTTAAGTTCAGTCTAGGTGAATTCAAAAGGAATGGCGAGCCTCGACCATCCCCGATGCGCCTAACAATTCAAATAACATACCCTCAACTGGGGGGATATGTATGTATATATATATATGTATGTATGTATAATCTGACTGTATTCAGTTGATAGGTAGCCTGGCTATGATTTTCTATCCATGTGTTTATATATAATCATACTCAGGCTATTAATCAGCTAAATAAAATCAAATAATATTTCGCTAAACTGATCAAATAGATTATCTCATAAGTATTGATAGAGATTAAATTACTTCCCACTAAAACAGAAACAAAGATTTTTATTCATTTCAAACAGCCCTAACGGCAATGATAGCTAGCACCATGTCAGCCGGAAAACAGAGCACCATGCACGATGCCACAACTAATTCTCATGCCATTTTCAAAAAAAAAAAAGAAACTATTTCTTATTGGATGATATAACAATATACACCACTAAGAGTACACCCGAATCTCTTTCTGCGAACCAAATAGAACCAAAGCGAAAGATGCAACGCAGAATACCAACGGAGGCGTTAATTAATTAAGCTTAAATATACCCCAAATTCCAAACCGCATCGTGCCCATTACCTAGTAACGGCCAAATGAAATCCATGATCGCCACAAAAGCTAAGAATACGGATAGTTTTGTTAGTTCTACTTCACCACTCCCTCTCCTCACAAACCATCTCAACATGAGCGAACCTCCTGCAAATTTCATCAACTCTCCAGCTTCCATGGCCATCTTCGCCGCTCTCTTCCTTCTTCCCATCATATCCCCCACCGCCGTTGGTTCCATTTTACATCCCAACTCTGCCGTTTTCGATCAACGGATCTCAGATAGCCCCAATGGATTTCAGTCCAGAGGTATCAACGCAGGACTTGACGCCAAGCTCCATTTGGCCGAGAAGCACCCGCGGTTTATAGCCGTGAGGAAGGATGGGAAAGGAGATTTTAAGACAATTTCTGATGCAATTGACAGCATACCTCAGAAAAACAGGCAAAGAGTTGTAATCCGGATTGGCCCCGGTGTCTACAGGGAGAAAGTTAAGATTGAAAGGACTAAGCCCTTCGTGACATTTTCCGGCGACCCGAAAGCAATGCCTACAATAACGTTCGCCGGCACGGCGGCTGAATACGGGACTTTGGACAGTGCTTCCGTAATTGTGGAATCGCATTACTTTGTTGCAAGCAATATTATCTTTGAGGTAATTTGTTGCTTGCTTACATTGGTTGGGGAGGTTATGTCAATCGTTAATATTTTAGTTTTTTTATTTATTTATTTTTCTTTTTGGGTTAGAACTCGGCACCAGCTCCGGTTTTGGGAGTGAAAGGAGCTCAGGCGGTGGCGTTGAGGATCTCCGGCGATAAGGCTGCTTTCTACAGGTGTAAGTTTTTGGGATATCAAGACACACTTTGTGATGATAAAGGCCGACACTTTTTCAAGGATTGTTTCATTCAAGGAACGGTTGATTTCATATTCGGGAATGCAAGGTCTATCTATCTTGTAAGTTCAAAATTTCTCAACATATAGCATTTTTTTGGAATTTTTAAGATGCCGACAAATAGGATGCTTGAGCCAAATACTTCTCATTTGTAATTTTGTAAATTTGTACATTTATATTAACCATACAAAATACATTGCTGGTATTGTTAAAAAGATGAAATGGACATTTTTGGGGAGGTTTTTTTTTTAAATTTTAGGGGCATTTACATACATAGCACATATTTGTTATGTATTTACATATCTATTTCTTAAACATTCATAGTTACATGCATATGACTCAAATCTTTAACATTACATAAAAAATACCACTATCATTGTTTTCTTTTTAAGTGAAAAATGCATTTTTCATGTATGTGTTTATGATGTCATGGTATTATAATTGTAAATGTTAAATTTTGGATGTTAGATATGTAAATACATAAGAATTGTGTAACTTTTTCAAAATTTTAAATATAATGTAGGATGTACTTGCCCTAAAAATTTTAACCTATTTATGGAGTTTTTGATGCATATAATTTTGGGTGATTTACATATCAACTCCTCATAATTTTAAATATAGCAGATTCACCAGCTAAATTTAAAATCTTACATTTCAATCACCTAAAAATCACCAAAACTTTAAATATAAGGTAATGACCACTCCTCTTTCAAATCATTATACTCAAAACTTCAGCTAAGGCGAGCAAGTAGTTTTTGAGAAAAAATTTGTTTACAATTCTCCAAAACTCTTGAAATTCAGCAAATTGTGGACACGTGAGTCTAAGTGACTCCATTTTATTAAAGAATGTTCAGAGAAATATCCCTTTAAAACTGTTTTTCATTTTCTAAATTAATTATTAATCCTCTTTTATAAGAAGTAACCCAAGTTAAAATCTTTATGCTTCTTCTATTAGTACAACAAAGATATACTTTTGGCAAAGTCTGAACTCTAGCATTAATGGGTCTATTACAGAGCCTCTAACATTAACAGTTTGTATTTATTTCAGTAGACTCGGAAAGGTCAATAGCTGCTAAGCATCAAATACAGTATGAAACTAAACTAATTTTCTTAAATCCAGAATTGCGTGATAAACTCTGTGGCCAATGGAATCACTTACATCACCGCACAGGCAAGATCAAAAATTGCAGACAAGAGCGGCTTCGCTTTTGTGCACTGTAAAGTAACAGGCACGGGCAGCGCATTTCTGAGCAGGGCGTGGAAGGAGAGCTCAAGAGTAGTCTTTGCCTATACTTACATGGACAGTGTGGTTAATCCCAGAGGTTGGGATGATAGGGGATTCAAGGAACGACAGGGGTAAGCTTCATTCTATTTACTTATCTTGTTCAGATTAATTTGGTGTCATTGAGTGTAAAGATATGAGTTTTGACTATGTCTTTTTTGGCTGATATTGTAGGACTGTATTCTATGGTGAGTATAAGTGCTCGGGGCCAGGAGCCTCTACGAGCAAAAGAGTCAGTTATGCTAAGCTGCTGACAGATAAGCAAGCGAAGCCTTTCTTGAGCATGACATTCATCAGGGGAAAAACATGGATTCTTCCGCGGCCGCAGCTTTAAAGCCAATGTTTTCTGTGATCACAATGAGAGTTCAGGATTTTTATTTTGTTTTTAAGCATCTGATTTTGGTGCTTTTTGCAAATTGTAAATTTTTTCTTTTCTCTATTATTTGGTTCAAGTCTGACCTCATTCTACATTAATTTAAATTGAGTTCTGCTCTCAATTTTCGCAAATTAAAGAAAAATAAAAAATTACATTGCTTTGTTGTTATATTATTTTAGTGCTAGTGTGGAGCCCGATAGGAACCGCTCCCGCCTCCCGATCGTGAAACCCGCAAACCGCCGAGCCCGCTCCCGACTCCCTCGAAAGGTCGCGACTGCGACCCTGCGGTTTCGCGAACTGCTTCTGCCTCCAGGTTCATGAAACGACGCCTTTCTTCACCCGCGAAGGTTTCTTTAAGTTGCGAACAAAAGAGGAAGAATATGGAGCACACACGGCTCTCCTTCAGATTTTGCACTGTCTTTTGTGTTCTTCTTCTGTAGTTTCTGCTTCCACGGAATAGGGGAAGAGAAGTGCAAGGTTTAGTTCCTTCCTGTGAAGGAAGAAGAAAGAAGAAGAAGAAGATTATTCTCCCTTGACTTCTTCTTGGTGACTTGTGGCAGAAGAGAAATTAGATTTTATTTAACTTGTAAGTTTATCTTCTTCGGTGTATCTCGGTATACAGTTTCTTCGGTGTATCTCAATGTAGAGAGAATGACAAAGACAGAAGAAGAGAGACCAACGAAGTGAGAGATTCATCTTGTAAGTCAAGACGATCGACTGGTGTAAATTCCTCAAGTAGTAAAATCTTCTTGTCGATCGACTGGTGCAAATTCCTCAAGTAGTAAAATCTTCTTGCAACTCCATGGACATAAGCAATTTGTCGAACCACGTAAATCTGTGTGTTCCGTTGTATTATTGTTTTCTGATGTAAATTTTTCTCGTTATATTTTTTCGCTTCGTGAAAGATCGTCCTCATGTTTATTTCTATATATATACCACAACAACTAGTGTATATCTCCAACATTTAGTTCATCCAGGTGGAAGAATTTGAGAAGAGTATGTTGCAGCTAGAAAATAACGAATTTCTGGTATCTTGTTTCTCATTGTCGCTACTGATAGTTATTATTTTACTATAAAATATCAAAAATTAATTAAAATACATGAATAAATCACAGTCCCAGAGGATTTTTTCATAAACCATTTTCCATCAAATAAAATTATCAAAAATGCTTCTAATATTTCGTTAAAAAAAGGAAAAAAGAAAATCACACAAAGCCCTATTTAATGTTGTCTGATGAATTTAATTTAAATTTTATCAGACAGAAAAAAAATGATGTCTTCTAAATACTAAAATTAGTAAATCTAATTTCTTCTGAATTTTTTCTCTACGTGTTTTATCAGACAGCCGCCAAGACTATATTGAGCATGACTAAATAGTTCATTGGGCTTTTGAGGGAATTGTTTTGCAGTAATTTTCCAGTAGAACTGGGGGTGTAATTTAGTCGAGTAGAGCTCGAGTCACTCCTGGCTTGAGCTTGAGTTTGATTAATTTTATTGAGTTCGAGCTCGAGCTTGTCTGCGACGAGCTGACTTGTTTATTATAAAAGAGAGAAAATAATATTAATTTAAGGTTGTTTTATAATAAAATGATAAATATAATGAGCAATTATGAGAAATAAAAAATAAAAAATATTATTTTACTATTGTATTTGTTATTTTAATTTTATAATAAAATGACAAATAAAAAAATAAAAAATATTATTTTACTATTGTATTTGTCATTTTAGTTTTATAATAAAATGACAAATATCTTGCTCGTTATATATAAATACAAACTATATAAAAAGATTTGAAAAAAAAAAGGGAAGCATTTTTTACTGCAAAGTTAGTTGTCCAAATCATCATAGCACATCAACCTTAGAAATTTCCATTAAATAATATAATATTCAATAACCTGAAAATATAAATATGGATATTTTAACAGAGAAAATTAATTATTAAATATTAGAAATATGTTAAGGGCAAGTCAAAAAGAACATCAGTGTATCATTTTTGTACCAAAAAAGTGAAAAATAAAATTAGAAAAGGATTATAGTATTACCGTTCATAATAAACACAAAATAAAATTATCTCCCTCTTTTTTTTGTTACTACCCTACTAACTTTTGTTGCGCAAAACAAGTTCACACAATAATCTAACAAGTAAATATAGTGCAACATTTGTGGCTTGGCACAAATTCTTCTACATATACGGGGAGAGGTAATTTCACTATCAGTCGGTCGAGAGAAATGAAAAGCCGACGAATGAATATCACGTTCTTTGTTCATGATTTTAGTTTATCATTATACACGTGGCAGTAAGCTGTCTAGCTGGATGTCACGACTGCATTTTTTTTTGGGTCTTCCTTCCGATAACTACAGATGACAGACAGTTCACTAAGTGACAAACATTATTTATGATTTCAACCCAATAGACTATTAAATCCAGCATTGGACAACATACACCAAAGTTTCTCCACTAAAGTCGGGTTCATCATCTCTTCCACTTCTTTTTGTTGTGGGGTCTCTCGATTAGTGAAGTGATGCTCTATCCCAGCCCTTTAGCACTCTTACAAGAACATATATTTTTATCAATCTGAGCCTCAATATCTGGGATCTTTCTATTAGTATGAGTCTCAATCCACTCCTCTGAGATATGAAAATCTCCAACGCGTCGTTCTTGCGCTTTATTATTTACACCCAGATATATATGGAATAATCATCGATGAAAGAGATAGTATTGTCGCCCGCTGAATGATGTTGTCTTCTTTAGGCCCCAAACATTTGTATGAACAAAAGTCTAGAAAATCTTTGTACTGTGCATGACATTAATAAATGATACCTATGTTCTCTTGTCGAACACACAATGTTCACCGAAATAAAGTTTACTGGTGTTGGCTCCTTCGATGAATCATTGATTCAACAAAGCCAAATGTGAAGTCTATACATTATGAATTAGCCGTGTATACCGCAAAATAGTAGTGTCAGAAAAATTATAAGCAACATCTTTCATTTCATTCACTTTACTACCCCCAATATAGTAAAGATTGTGATGATAGACTCCCTTCATAAAGATCAGTGCTCCATTATAAATCCTCAGAACTCTTGCCTTAATAACTATCTTGTTGCCTTTGGTCCCTGAGGCCCTAACTAAGAACATGATTTTCTAATATCTGAAACATGCATAACATTAGTCAACTCCCTCACAGTACAATCATGCATCCCGATAAAGATGCTCCTCATGCCAATAGTATGATAAACTTGATCGTTGTTCATATTCACTACATCACTTTCAAGCTTCTTATACGTACAAAACCACCCTCGATTGGGGAAAATGTAATAGATAGCACCTTTGTCTAGAATTTAACACAAATCAATTATATATAAACTGTGAAAAAATGTAAATATTGACACATTTGACTTTGCCTCGTCATAACTCTAAACAATGCTCTGCTTTGGAGAAATAGTGTCTCAGCCACCTTTTTTACCCAATCACTTTTCTTCTCAGATATGTCACGTTGGACTATAAGTGTCTTGTTTGACTTTATCTTTGCAGACTCCTTATCCCTTTGACGGAACTCGTGATTCAATAAAATCGTAGTCACCTCGCCAAAATTCAAGACCTCATTCCCATGAATGAGTGTAATCATGAAGATTTCGTAGTCATCGAGAACTAAATTCAATAGAAGAAATATATTTTCTTCACCTCCAATCTTCTTATCCAAATTTAACAGATATATCAAAAGCTTTAGAAAATCATTCAATTGTTCATCAATAGTAACATCACATCTCATCTAAATATGTAGGGTCGATGCTTCGTATGGAGATGATTCTTCATGCTCTTATGAGATATTTGTTCTCCAATGTATTCCACCATTTTCCTACAGAAGTCCCACATATTTGATCTCCTGAGATAAAAAATTTCAGATTATGCCACAAGCACTTCGGTTCATCTTCAATTAATCTCTTTCAAGCATCTCTTCAAAATGTTCATCGCTATCAACATTTTTTTTCATATTCTAAGAGTATAACACATCCATAACCTCCCGTCGCTACATGCCAAAGTTTATTTTCTTGTCAAATTTCTTTACTTTGATCTTGACAAGATGCATAACCACCTGATGAATAGTTATCTTTTCCACCATCATGATGGATGTTGATGTGTCTGACAATATGATATCAAACATGGCTTTACTAGATCTTGTAGCCTAACTTGCACCAATCTTTGTTTGCACCTACAACTTCCTAAGAATCACAATTACACGTGGCCAAAATCATTGATCTGTCCTTGACGCCAATGTTTGTGCAAAATAATGCAAAAAACAAGTGCACACAACAAAAAAAACAACCAAATAGCGCAATTTACGAGGTTCAACACAAATCTACCTACGTCCACGGGGAGGTTATTCCACTATCATCGAGTGCAGAGAAAAGAAAAATCGGGTGATTTAGGGTTACAACTCAACACCCATAATTTCTTCATAATTTCTTATATAAATAAGAGGATTAGGGTATACAAATTAGAAAAAAATTTAAATATAGAACATATCATATATTTAGATCTTCTAAAATTAGATTTCACAATATAGAAGGATTCTATAATTATATCTCTCCAAATTATGTTACATAATATTAATTTTTTTAATATACATACTTCCTAATTTACGACCATTGGATTTTAATTCTTTCCATACCAATCTTCACGTGTTTCTTCATCCTCACCTTCAACTTTTTCTTGTTGAATAGTGTGTTTTTATGGGTATATTTCTTTCATTTCAACCTGCAATTCAAAACATACTTACAAGTAACTGAATAGCTTACGACATGCATTAAAAAAATTAATTTAAAAAGTATGCAAATTCAATAATTACATGTGTATATATATATATATATATATATACTTATGTAAATATGTCAATATAATTAAATTAAAAATAATAATAATATAAATCAAAAATAAAAGCAGAGACTAAATTTTATCTGAAACACAATTATCACAATTATATCAATCTATTAAACAGAATCTCAAACAAGAAACTTACATGAAAAATAAATAAATAATCTTTGAAAAAAAACTTGAATTTAATTTGTCAAAAGTTGAAGGCAAATTATGTTCATATTTGCATATAAATCTAGCACATTAGATATCAGCGAAGTGTCTGAAGTCATTAGAATATGGCAATTGATTAGGGCTATCATATGAAACTTGAAGAAAAAAGAAGAAGGTGAAAGGGAGCTTGTCAGTTAAGTAGTAAGCTCAAATGCCAGTAAATTTCTGACAAAAAGTAGCCGAGATTCTTAATTAAATTTTTCTCCCAAGTAATGTTGTGGAGATTGCCCTATTTTCCAATGTTGTTGGGTGAGATGAACAACTCCTATTACCGACGAATAGACCCATTGTGTTGGTCCATCTTTCTACAAATGGATAAGCCATATCGATACTGCTATTGATCACTTTCACATACTTGGATCTTTATTGGACTGCCAATCTAGTATCTTATTTTTATAGTTTTTTAATTTATTGTTCAAATTTCAACTAAATTTTTTCATAAGTTATTTTTAATTTTCTTTGAAGATTAAGTAGTAAGGGATTAATTTTGTTGTAGTAGATATGCTCTCATTGTTCTTAATCATTAATTGAGAGATATATTCATACTCTCAACAACTCCATTTCATTATGGAGTTTATTGTGCCATTCTCTTCATGTCATTCGAAAGATATAATAACTTTTTACTTTACATAGTTATGCTCCCTATCCATTGTCTGTCATAGGCATTTTATTTTAAGCCCATTCTCTAGCAAACTTTTCCCCTACATAAAGTTGGAGGCCTAGTTTGCTTATATGACTTGGCATTTTATATTGGAGCTTTTAATTTGCCTTGTACTGGTGATAGCTCCTACCATTCATATGTTATAAATTAAATTGAGTATGCATGTCTTGTTGCCGGGAGAAATCATAAAGACATATTTTGTCACTTTGCAAGTACTACATTAAAAATAGCATGATATGTTTTCATCTAGCAATCCCATGGAGATCAAGTTTCTCCTGGTACCAAAAATTTTGTAACTTTGTTCTGCTTTCAAATATTTTCATTTATGTAATCATCATCACTTCATCAATAGCTAAAATTCTCAAGGGTTAATCATCACAAAAAAGGATAAATTCTCATAACCCAATATATGCTAATTTAACATTAGATGTTTATTTGAGGAAGAGTGGATAAATACTCTGGAAGCCAACATTTAGAATTTCATAGTGCTGCTTGTCCAAAATATAAGTGCTTCCAAAATATATTCCACAAAGACATTCAAGTCACTTATTTTGGCTTTTAACTTCATTCTGAGGATTAAATCTATTGTTTATTTGGGATTTAAATCTATTGTTATATAGCTTCATGCTGAGTGATTTATGATATCTGCTGATCTCCTTCCAAATAGAATCCCAGCTTTCCGATTGTAATGAAAACAAGTAGGGAACATTTACATGCATACCACTGAATTTACATATCTATGCTTTCTACATTTATGCCACCCAGATATATCATATCGCATCATAAATGTCATCATTTTTAACTTTTAGAATATAAAATACATTTTTTCATGTAAGAGTAAAGTGATTTGGTAGTGAAATTTGAAGTCTATATGTCAGATATGTGAATACATAAAAATTTAGTGTTATGATTGTAAATCTTCCAAATAAAACCGTAGAACTTGATTTTAACAAAGTTGAAAGTTGAACGCATTAAAGTACTCAACAATTGAAGCTTCCTCCAATATATATATTTCTTAAGAAAAAACAGAAAAAAAATGCAACAGAAAGAATTACAGAAACAGACTACAAATAAGACTCAAGTAAGACACATCAAACAACAAATCATAACCCATGTTGAAGTCTACTGGAAAACACCAAATGTTTAAATGGAGATATCAAAACAATACCCAACAATTCAACATTGGCAGCTTCCCCCTTAGCACCTACACATTAAACGAAGGAAAGACAGAATATGCAATTATAATTAAAATTGAAACGTCGGATTTCAAGCAGAAATCTCAGTGTCATTGGAAGAGAGATCGTGCTTCGATGATGTCTTCTGTTTTCTCCCATTCCTCCTGTTGCTTCCTCTGCCAACCGAAGACGGCATTGCCTCGTTGGTCTGTCATCACAACACACAATTCACATTAAGACCTCCGCATCAAATGCTCATTTGATCTCCACATAGCATCATTTTGAGAGAGGTACGAAAATATTATAGCGTTGGAAGTTAATTTTGATTTTTAACAATTTTCATTCAAATGATGTGTTTGGAAAAGTTCATTGTTTTCCACAAAATATGTTTCAGAATTTAACCAAACAAGCCCTTGAAAATCAGTGAGCAATGAAGAAATAAAAAAAATAAAATAAAACGTAAGTAGTGAGAAATAGATTATCATTCTCTACTCTGCAGCTAGTTAAGATGAATTTTATTTTTATTCTTATGTTAAAACATGTATTCTTACCGTTAAAAAATTTAAAAATATTTTTGAAAACAAGCTGATCTATTTTTTTATTTCTAAAATAAAAAATATAAACAATATACTCAACAAACATAAAATCTAAAATAAAAACAATAAACCAAAAAAATAAACACAATTCCTAATGACTTTTGTTGAGAAATTTAGGGCAAAGAAACACAAGAATCGACACAAATCCAGAAGAAAACACAGAGATTTAACGAGGCTCGACAAAAATGCCTACATACTCGGGAGTAGAGCGGCGGTTTTCCTTCAATTCAAAAAAAGAGTACAGAATACAGGTTAAGATGAATTTTATTTTTATTCTTATGTTAAAAAACATGTATTCTTACTGTTAAAAAATTTAAAAATATTTTTAAAAACAAGCTGATCTATTTTTTTTATTTCTAAAATAAAAAATATAAACAATATACTCTGTTAACATAAAATCTAAAATAAAAACAATAAACCAAAAAAATAAACATGATTCCTAATGACTTTTGTTGAGAAATTTAGGGCAAAGAAACACAAGAATCGACACAAATCCAGAAGAAAACACAGAGATTTAACAAGGCTCGACAAAAATACCTACATCCTCGGAAGTAGAGCGGCGGTTTTCCTTCAATTTAAAAAAAGAGTACATAATACAAAATAAAGGCCTAGGGTTACAAATAGACAAATATATAACCCTGAAGTGCAATATGTAATTTATAGTTGCTCCCACATTCCCAACTTACGTAATGAAACTCCCCAGATTGGACAGATGTTTCCGCTCCGCTCCAGGAAATGTCTCTTATATGGTATATGAGTCATACCTAACAAATCTCTACCTTGCGAATATTCAGCCCCTTAGGAGAAAGAAAATACCTTGGAGTTTCTCACATGCACCGAAGTGGGTTGGGCTACCATGGTCTAGCAACTGTAAACATTCAACAAGTCCAAACAATGCAAGAGCTTGTTGATAGTAACTGACTTAGTCAACATATCAACTGCAATTTCATCAGTATGAACCTTCTGCAACAGTATCTCGCCATAAGTAATCAATTCTCTGATCTTGTGATACCTGACATCAATATGCTTAGTTCTTGCATGGTACACCTGGTTCTTAGCCAAAAAAATAGCACTTTAACTATCATAATACAACTGAATTCCACCTTGCTCAACACCTAGTTCCTTTATTAGCTAAAGAAGCCATAAGGCTTCTTTAGCAGCTTCAGCTACTACCATGTACTCATGCTTTAGTTACAAATAATGACACTATACTGAATTGTTGATACCAACATATAGGTCTTCCACCAAGAGTAAACAAATACTCAGTTCTAGACCTTTTGTCATCCAAATCACTTGCATAATCTAAATTCATGTGCCCCACAACTGAAGGATCATCATGGTGACTGCCAAAAATAATTTAAAGTCCTACAGTGCACTTCAAATACCTAAAAATCCACTTGGCTGCTTCCCAATATCACATTCCAGGTTTAGATATGTATTTGCAGACTTGACCAACAGCATGAGCCAAATCAGGGTGATACATTAAACAGTCAACTACACTGGCATATGAAACCTTTGTCACGTCTTCTATTTCCCCATCTGTATTCAGACACTGTTCTGACGAAAGCTTAAAATGATATGCCAATGGAGTGCTCACGGGCTTTGCTTTGGGCATCTCAAATTTGTCCAGCACTTTCTCAACATAGCCTCGTTGAGATAAATATAGTCGTTTTGAGCCTCTATCCCGATGAATTTTCATTCCAAGAATCTTCTTTGTATGACCCAAGTCTTTCATGTCAAATTTCTGGCTCAATAAAGCTTTCAAACCAAGGACATCATGCATATTCTTTGCAACAATCAGTATATTGTCAACATACAGCAACAAAAAATAATGGAATCATCATCGAGGCTTTTGATATAGACACAACAATCATACTCACATCTCTTGTAGTCAATCTGAATCATGTAGGATTCAAAATGCTTGTATCATTGACTTGGAGATTGTTTTATCTCATACAACGATTTCTTTAATTTGCAAATTAGATGTTTCTGTCCAAGTTGAGCAAACCCTTCTGTCTACTTCATGTAAATCTGTTCTTCTAAATCACGATGCAAGAATGCAGTTTTAACATTCATCTGCTTCAGATGCAAATCTCAAATAGTTACTAAAGCAAGCACTGCCCTGATTGAATTATGTCTGATCACAGAAGAAAAGATTTCATCATAATCTATTTCCTTCTACTATGAAAAACCCTTTGTTACCAGTCAAGCCTTGAACTTTTCTCTTTCTTTTTCTGATACTACTGGTTTCTTTTTGTACACTCACTTGCACCCAATATTCTTCTTTCCCTCAAAAAACTGAACTAGCTCTCATATGAAAATTTTCTGCAAAAACTTCATCTCCTCAGCCATTGCACCCATCAATTTCTCTTTCTCCTGACTGGTGATAGCTCATTGGAAAGTGATTGGATCATCGTTGCTGATGAGAAGTACACAAGAGATCAAGTTTTCATAACTCAATCTGTTAAGAGGTCTTTATATTGATGTGTCTCTGTCTATCTCTAGCTAGATTTTAATTCTGCAATTTATCTGTATTGGAATCACCAGGTGTTGGTTCTGAACTTCTATCTCAGTTGCTACTGGATGTTGTTCTAGATGAATCTGCACTGTATCTGAATTGGAACTGTTCACTTGCATATTGTCTTAATTCTGCTGCAATATGGATTGTTCATCAAAAACTGCATTTCTATTGATCATCATCTTCTTTGCAATCGGATCCCAAAACTTGTATCATTTCACACCTTTTTAATAGCCCAGAAAGATACACTTATTGGATTTTGCATCAAGTTTTGATCTTTTATCTCAAGGTACATGCATATAAGCAGGACAACAAAAAATTCGTTAATAATTAAAATTAATCGGATTATTTGTCCATACCTCTTCTACAACATTGTCACCTAATGATGCCCGAGGCGATCTATTGATGAGATAGCATGTCATATTCACAGTCTCAGCCCAGAAACTTTTAGGAAGCTCTGCATTCAGTTTCAAGCACTTTGCTCTCACTTAAGAACTTGTTCATCCTTTCTGCAATGTCATTCTGCTGTGAAGTCTTGCGCACTAAAAATGTCTCTGAATCTCATGCTTCTCACAAAATTTCTGAAACTGTGAATATGTGTATTCTATGTCATTATCAGACCTTAAATACTTGATATTTCTGTTAGTTTGGTTCTTCACCTCAGCTTTCAACAGCTTGAATTTGGAGAAACCTTCAAATTTCTGTTTCAAGAAATACACTTAAACTTTCCTGGAGAAATCATCAATAAATGTAACATAATACAAAGATCATCTCAATAACAATTCTCTAATTGGGCCCCATACATCAGAATGCACATAATCAAGAATCTCTTCAATTTTGTGTTTTTTAGTCATAAAACTGACTCTAGCCTATTTTCCAAGAACACAAAACTTACAAAAATCGAGTTTGCAGCTTTTAACACCATGTAACAACTTTATTTTATGCAATTCAGTCATCCCACATTCACTAAGATGACCCAGATGCATATGTCATATATTTGTTTTATTTTTATCTGACTCAACAGAATGAATTTCAACTACAACTGTACTCCCCAACAGTTTGTAGATATTACTTGCAGTTAACATTCCTTTCATCACAGTCAGTGCACCCTTAACAATTCTGATGATTTTCCCATCCTTATTTATCTTAGGAATGAAACTATTTCTATGTAGAGTGCCCAAGGAAATCAAATTCTTCTTCAAATGTGGAATATGTCTGACATCACATAATGTTCTAACAGTGTCATCATACATTTTAGTTCTGATTTCATCAATATCAACAATATTGCAGTGTTTATGATCATCTAAATCACTCACTCCTAGGTGTTATGTGATAAGAGAATCCTGAATGAAGAATTCATGCATCCATAAACTGAGTTGATGAAACATAAAGCATATCTCATCGTCGCAATCTGAATTGTCCTCGTGAACTCCACCTGGACAAAGTCGCCTGGTCGCGATGTCGCGAATCCCTCTGCATCACGGAAGAAGTCGCGCCGAAGCCTGCATGAAGAACACTTGGTCTGAAGCAGCGTGGAAACTTCTTCCTCGATCGAAACTGTCATTCGATCTTCTGCTCGCGAACTGCTCAAAACCGGGCAAATCTCTCTCGCCTCCTCGTCGCAAAAGAAGGGGTGTCGTACGCCGGGTCGCGGTTCGTCTGCTCTTCCTGCGTCGAACGTCGAACATTTGTCTTCGCCGACGAACTGTCGCAATTCGTCGAACTCTGAAGCCCTAGCCGAACCTTTTCTGCTAAATCTTCTTCTTCCCTGCGCCGAAATTTCTCCTCTATACCCTATAACTTCGCTCTGATACTACTTGTTGAGAAATTTAGAACAAAGAAACACAAGAATCAACACTAATGCAGAAAAAAGAATCAACGCAGAGGGTTACGAGGTTCAACAAAGATGTCTACGTCCTCGGGAGCAGAGCAACGACTTTCCTTCAATTCAGAAAAAAAAGTACAGACTACAGAATAAAAACCTAGGGCTAGAAATAGACATATATATAAACTTTGAATACAATATGTAATTACCAAATTACCCACGTACCGTACCGCGGAGAGTTACCCCTGCACCCCCAACCCACATAACGA